GTCATCAAACTAAATATTTTACCGAATAAGACCCCCCCCCGCAAAAAAAAACAAAACATAATTATTGATGACTCTTAACCAGCTCAAATTAAGTATGATTACACTTGGATGTCGTTGAATGACTTGCCTTTTATTTGAATCCGCCTAGGAAGCACTACAAGTAGCGCTGAGAGAAAACGAGCAGCTCAGGACGAGGGTCTGCCGAAGCTCGTCATGGAAACCAGACAAGAGGCCCTCCGTGTGTTGAGTGAGAAAAACCACGTGCTGAAAGCTTTTGATTTTTTTATACACGGGTATGTTTTCTTTGCGTTTGTTCTCTTCAGTTGTATTTTGTCACATTTGTATGGAGCCCAGGAGAATACATTACATTTATAGCGGTCCAACCGATCCCTTTGTTTGTGCGCACATCACAGGTCATTGTTGTAAATTCAGATTTTTTTTTTCTTTTTGGTTGATTAAGTGTCAATCAAAAGCTTAGCTCTCAGGTGTTTTGCTGAACACCCTTTCCTCATACCTCTGCATACTTGATCAGAAACAATGGGAGGATGTCCAATGGACATACTGTAGTTGAATTTATGATTTAAACTGACTTTCAAGATGGTTTCAGCGATGCTACAAGTCAAAATGCTGCAGCCGTCATTGCTTGCAGGATATTAGATAATGTCTGGGTTTTTTTCCTTTTTAAAATTTTTTTTATAACTGTTGTTCCACATATGCAAGCCATAATTGGCCTACAACCACAGGTCGGGCTGTGTGTGTAGGCACATACGTGTGTGTGTGTGTGTGTGTGTATGTATGTGTGTGTGTGTGTGTGTGTGTGTGTGTGTGTGTGTGTGTGTGTGTGTGTGTGTGTGTGGGTGTGTGTGTGTGTGTGTGTCATTGGAACTAAAATAACATCAGAAGACGTCTTGATGGAGACAAGTGCTCCAGCCCCGTTTAATCTTTATAGTTTCTGACCCAATTTAACTGGAATGGAATTGCACTTGACAGATTTAATGTCAGGAAGAGGCTGTGCTTTGCCTGCAACGAGAAAATACATATTATTTGTTCCAAAAAACTGACTAATACCTTTCCTCATCTAACTGCATGAATGTTATCAAGTGCGAAATGCATGCAAAAATGAAATCCTGTGGACAGGATTTGCCACGCTCATGATCAAAGCCTGATTTCCTTTTACCCTGGCTTCAGCCCTCCACCGTTTTTGTTTGTATTCACTTGACACTCTTACAACAGAAGCCTCTTGGCTTCTTTACGAAATTCCTAAATTTAGTTTTTGTTTTTGTCTTTTTTTTTTTTTTTTTTTTTAAGACCAAGCTTATGTCAACATAGAGATTCAGACCTCTCCTGTTTAGTCTAATTTACATGCGTGCATACTCTTTCCAGTTTGGGCTGTTTTACGAACATTATAACGCCAGCATTTCATGCCACGGTTAGGTAAGTACAGACTGCACTTTGCGGTTGCCTTTAATTGATTTGTTCTTGACTTGAGGCACTTCTTGTGTAACAGCCTTTAGAAATCAGAAAATCAGCACCACACATTCATCTCTTTGATATTCAGCAGAACAATGCAGTGAAAATAAAACCAGCATCCCGACAACACTGAGTGCCGTCAAGGTGAACCGGTGTTAATGAACCATTATGCTGTCACAATACAGCAAATCAACACTGGACGAACACCGACACGTAATGGAGAAGGCTCGACAAGATAATTTACAATTGCAGAACTTCTGATTAAAAAGGCGATATATGTACAACTTTTTTGATATAGCACATTTCATAACAGCTGCAGCTGTAACAAAGCACTTTACATCCCGTGTAACATAAAATAACAATAAATAACACAAATTAATGATACTAACACAGAAAAGTAAGAATTTTCAGTGTACCGTATTTTCTGCGCTATAAGGCACTTCGGAGTATAAGGCGTATAATGGCCCATTTTAAAACTCTTTTCATATATAGGGTGCACTGCATTATAAGATGCATAGAATAGAAGCTACGGTAATGGCTGCAGTTGCATTATGAATCCACTAGATGGGGCTACGCTAAAGGGAATCCATCCATCCATCCATCTATCCATTTTCCAATCTGCTGCATCCTCAAAATTTTCACTGGGGGGTACTGGAGCCTATCACAGCTGTCTTCGGGCAGTAGGTGGGGGACACCCTGAACCGGTTGCCAGTCAATTGCAGGGCACACAGAGACGAACAGCCTTCCGCGGTCACACTCACACCTAGGGACAATTTAGAGTGTTCAATCAGCCTGCCGTGCATATTTTTTTTGGAATGTGGGAGGAAATCGGAGTCCCCGAAGAAAACCCACGCAGGCACCGGGAGAACATGCAAACTCCACACAGGAAGACCGGAGCTGGGATCAAATCCACGATCTCTGCGCTAACCACTCGACCACCGGGCCCGCCTTAGGGGAATACAATACAATACAATACAATACAATACAGCTTTATTTATATAGCGCAGGGGTCAGGAACCTTTTGACTAAGAGAGCCATATCAGCAAAATATTTGGAAATGTATTTCAGTGAGAGCTATACAATATAGTGTATTTTTAAAGTGAATTCAACAAAATGTCAGTATAATGCGCCTCTGAAGGTATTCTTTGGGAATTATAATCAGCTTGCGGGATCGATAGGCAGAGTTGCTGCTGGCTAGCTTGTACCCTGCTCAGTAGCTTCCTTTCCGCTGTCTCTCGCAGGGTATTTTGATGCGAACGTAGCATGGTGCGTGTCAAAGTGCCGCTTTACAGAACCTGTTCTGTCCACAAAGGCGAATCCTTCAGTCCATTCATCCTGAAGTGTACCATACTCGTCATCTTTTTTTTTTCCTTTTGGCCATCTTATTCATCAAAGGATTAGCTTTGAGCTAAAGCGGGCTGATTCAAAAGGCGGCGTTTACCTGTTTCCACAGCCAAGCGGACTGATTCAAAAGGCGGCGTTTACCTGTTTCCACAGCAACGGCAACGTAGGCCAATATTATCCAATCAAAAATGCTCCTGGAGCCAACTGCAGCCCTGAACAGGAAATGAGCAGTAAAAAAATCGATGGATTGATTTAACAAGCGAGAATATTTTGTTTGATCTGAGAGCCAGATGCAATCATCAAAGGAGTCACATATGGCTCGTGTGTCATAGGTCCCTGACCCCTGATATAGAGCCTTCACAATCGTTGCAGCTCGAACAAAGCGCTTTACAGAACATTTAAAATACTACATCCAAGAAATCAGAACATTGATCCAGATATAAGGCACATCAGATTATAAGGGGCACTTTCGGCTTTTGAGAAAATTGAATGCTTTTTGGTGCGCCTTATAGTGCGGAAAATACGGTATTTCTTCAAACAGTGGAAAAATATGCCAGCCAATGTCTTCATTTGAGTGAGCAAACACACGGCTACTATTTGTATAAGTTCCGTAATGATGTCTTTGGGGTGTATTACTTGGCTGTCACCATCGGAGGCACTGTTGATTCAGTCTCAACAAGTTTTCTGTCAAAAGAATAACAGAATAACCTTTAAAAATGTTGCTATTAAGTACGTATCCCTATTGTGACCTATCACTGAAATAAATTTGTATCTAATGGCTCCTCTTAAAAAAAAAAAAAAAGCATTAATGCCCCCATTGACCATGATGGCAAGTCTCTGTTTATTTGTTCGTACGGGTATGCTCGTTTTTCTGAACAGTGTGCCCTAATGAGCCCTCATTTTATTGTCTTTCCTCGAGGAGCTGATGACTTAGCGAATTCCCTTCACTTCCCAGCTTTGGAGCACACATTGCCAGGCAATGGCAAGCTTTGTCGAAAGAGTTAAAGGTGGGGGTTGGTGGGGTTGCAATGTCATCAATCACAATGGAAACCTCTTTTTGCGTGAAACTGCATTCAAATAATAAAGCAAGCGGCATGCCTTTCCAAGAGGCTCGGAATAATTTCTGCCTTCGGTGTGGGGGTTCATGGCTCTGTGTGTACGTGTAAAATATGTCTTGAGGGGATTGGTATAAAGTTAAACTGGGTGAAGTAGAAATATTTTACTCATCAGCTTTGCAGTCACAGAGTTTGCCTCAGCTAGAACAAAACTGCTGAAGCATTTAGAGAAAATTAACCCCCCATCCTGGCAGCCAGATGTGACTGGATTCTGATGAGTGCACACGAGTGGGCAGAGAAACCAAGAGACTGTGAAATTCCTGTCAGGCCCGTGTACTGCAGAATGGGCTATTGACTGCTTTCTCTATTCCCCTCCATCATTCTTCTTGAACACTGCCATTAATTTCCTCTCCCTGCCTTACCAATTCCTTTTCTCTGCCTTCTCCCCCCCTAGCTCTCTTTGTTGCAAAAGAGGATGCACAAAGCTTTGGTGAAATACTTCAGACAACGGCAGCCTCGGCGGCGAGGCTGAACTGGACCGCTGCCAGGCTCTTTGTCGACAAGCCGACCAGAAAATAAAAACTGCCCAGGTACACTTCCTGTGTAATGTATGCATGTCCAGGAAAGTGCAAACTGTCACCATCCACTACAGAGTGATTCAACTTCTATCCCAGACAAGGTTTTTCGACTGGCTCATAACCTCCCGAGTCTTTCACTGCTGAGCTTTGTTAGATTTCCCTTGCTGGAGCCTGAGAAAAAAAAAATCTTCACCATGTATGTCAACCTGAAGATGACACCAGAAAAAAAGATAAAGGGTTCAACGTTACTAACTTGCACAGCATCGTAACAATCTCACCATGAAAAAATGGTAACATGGCACAAGAAAGTTACCGCCACACTTGCTATTTTTCTTTGATTATTTTCGATTTATGGCCTTGAAGTGTTCTTCATAAAATATTTGCTGTAATGACTTTAAAACTGCATCAGCGTTCCAAGTTGCAGACAAATTCCGCTGTAGGAATACGACTTGGCCCGTCGTAAACTGAGGACCCGCTATTTCTCCGGTGACTGCGTACCACCACTATCCTTCACTGACATGATCCTGTTCTTGTGTTTCTCCAGCAGGTGGCAGTGGAAGGCTCCTCCTCCAGCGTGCACACCTGCTGCCAATTTGATCATCATGATTAAGACACGTATTTAAGATGCCAAGATCCCATGTCTCTTGTCGGATTATTGACCTTGTTGCTGCTCTTGCTCAAGTGCTCGATCTCGTCATTGTCGCTTTTGCCTCGAGTTACTCGATAGTAAGTATTGATATTATTTTTGTCTTTGATCTTGTTTTGTTTGCGTGTAATTGGACTCTTGTCATTTCGTGTGTTTTTTCAGCGTTACTTTTATCTTGCCTTTTGCAAGAGCTTTTTGTTTATGCCTTGTTTTTCCTGGCCCCTCGTGACCAGCGATTTCTGTTTATACTTTGTCGGTGCACTTTTGCGTGTAAATAAAGATTTTTGTGACGGATTTTTGTTTTGTGGGATCCAATCACCATTCAGTTCATTCCCAAACTTGACATTCACAGCACGTGCAGTCATCCCACTCCATCGTAGGGTCACATTCCAGACTACACCGCAGTAAGTGAATATCCGCCATATAAAAATATCCTTCTTAAATACGCCTGAGCCATGTTTTCATAACATTTATGAAATGTCAATATTTTTGAGGGTCTTTAAACCCAATTTTAAAACAACAGAATCCCTTTTAAACACAATATATTGTGCAATGGCAAACAAAAATACAGAACAAACAGTAGGAAAAATATAGAGTAATAACCCAAGAAACAGTCACAAAAATATATGTACATCGGAGGGTTTGGACCAGGGGTGTCGAACTCATTTCACATGGTGGGCCACATACGGCCTCGGTAGATGTCAAGTGGGCCGGACCATTAAAATGATACAATACTTTGCTATAAATAACCAAAACAATATGTCTTTCCTTTGTTTTGGTATAAAGAAGCACAAGAACATTAGGAAAATGTTGAAATTTAATGAACATATCTTTTACAAAACATTTCATGAAGCACCTTACATTTCCTTCGACAAATGTGCAATTTACTTTTATCATTCACATATATGCATTGCAACTGATCCCACTGATTGTACAAACTTTAACAAGTAATTGGTATTGAAAAATATAGTAATGCACTTTAAGATTAAACAAGATTCATAAAGAAAGCAAGTTTTAAAGCATTTACACGTGCATATAAAATCTAAATGTAATCCCTGCCTACACCTTACAAACTAAGGAGAGTGCTATTAAATGTGTAAATGTGAGAGTGCTATTGATAGCGTCTGCTGTCATGGGTCTGTCTCAGTGACAGACTGAGGCTGCTGTTGTCTTCTTCTCTGATCAAAACAGTGTCCCCTTGCGGATACTCAATGAATTGCACCTGATTAAAAATATTAATTCTGTGTCTTTAATGCATTTTTTTCACTTTTACATTATCCTGCGGGCCTGATTGAACCTACTTGCGGGCCGGTTCCGGCCCGCGGGCCGTATGTTTGACACCCCCTGGTTTAGACCTTCCCTCATGAGAAAAGACGACTGCCGTCGCTTTGATTCAAACGAGGTGTTGACAACCTTGGGTTATGAATACTTTGAATACTTTGAAAGAATACGTGGATGAATTGTGATAAAGAAATACCGGACTTCCAGTGAACCGAGTGTGGGTGTAGGTCAAAATCAAGTGGCTGAAGTCACTACTAGCTGTGAATTACGCTGCTTTTAATTTCAAATGGAGATGCCTTGACTTGGTGATGTTCCGATTTATGATTTTAACTTGTTGCCTATTGTTGCACGTTCAAAGGGACACAAATTCGCGAGAATGTCAGCTGTAACAAGGTTTTCTTATCTTATCTTATGTACACATGCAACATATACAGTATAATTGGTGCTAAATAATTGCTATTATTGTGTGTTTTTAATTAATGTGTCTCTGTAAAACTTTTTTAATGCTACCTTTAAAAAAACTATGCAATGTACTGTACATGCTTCACATGTTGTCTCAGAACTAACAACTTTGAATGGAAACATGACTTCGCAGATCAATCAGCAGTTTAGTGCTAGCAAAGGCCAATCTGGTTGAAGCCTTTTTAAAAGCGTTTTCCGGCAAGGCCCTGATATCTTTGCTGAAGCTTTTGATTTTATTTTTTTGTCTGTATTTTCCAACAAAAGGAGTGTTTGAAAAAAGTTCTTCTACACTTGATGCTAAATGAATGTCTCGGTTTTATTTTGGATTTGGTTTGAGGGGCCATTTTTACTGACCTATTTGGAAAAAAAAAAAAAAGAGTTGTCATTTTGGCCTAATGACAAAACACAAATTTCTGAATCATGTCCCAAAGTAAATGAAAGCATGGGCATGATCACTCCCGTGTAAATGCTTAAAGCCGTATCTTCTCTTCAATGGAGGATGTGCACATACCCGACTGGGTCACTTTCATTCAATAGTGGGAGAACACAGGACTGGTTCAAATAATGAGCTTGATGATTCTTCTCCAGCCAAGTGTACATTTGCTGCGACCAGCAGAGACCCGTGACTCCCTTAACTGCAGTTTCCAACCCAAAGATACACTCAACTGAGGATTAAAAACATGCTTTTGGTTAAAACAGGTTGGGCAAGCAGCTGGTGTGTCTGTGGTATGTGGCATTGCAGTCAAATGACAAAGTCTTCTTGGCATTTTAAAGTCGTCATCTGTGCGGTGAACTTTGGAAAAACCAGACAAAGAAACCAGAACAGTCAGGCTTCTTGTGTAAAAGCACTTCAAGTCAGCTGAGCAAAGCCGCTGCTATTAAGGACAGAGATTCTTATATAATTTGTCTAAGTGCTGACCTTGCATCATTGACTCGACTGCACTCTGTCCATTCAGTCCTCAGACGAGCGACTGATGGGATAGATGATGTGATGCTACTGACCTCGTGTGTCGGACATAAGCTCATGTTCCATGAAAATGAGAATTTTATTTTATTTATTTTTTGGCAGCCCAACAGCCCTCCGTCTCTCATGCGGACGAGTAGGCGCACATTCCGCAAGGTTGAGGTGTAAGGATCCTCAATTAGAGCGCAATCAGCGTCTCATCCGCGCTGTGATGTGAGCTGAGGTCACAGCGGACAGAGGGACGGTGATGAATCATTTTGTCCGCCGTTACTGCGGAGCCAGGTAGCGTTCGAGAATAAGCCATCGACCACTTTCACGTGAACCTTTTAGCAGCCGCAAATGGCAGACTCAGTTGCTGGTGATCCTCAAACGTGAGCTGATATATGCTGACACAATGATTTGATTCGAGCTTTTCCAGGGGCCCACCTAGTGAAAATACGATCAAGTGGTATCCTCCACACACAAACCACACACAGACTACTGGCATGCTTTTTGATGGGTCCAGTCCGGACATTACAGAGGGTAGCCATGTCTCATTGGCCAATGCGCCCCCCCCGGACCCCCCACAACACACACACACACACACACACACACACACATACACACACTCCCCCCCCCCCCTCACATCACACAGCTCGAGGCGGGGTGGGGAGGAGCTATCAGTGGGCTGCAGAGTGTGAAGGACAAAAGAGCCGGTGTATTCAAGCGGACCGCACCGTCACCCGTCACAGCTCAGCGCAGGACCCATCAGAGCAGGCAGCACTCACTTTAGCTCCTTGTGTGAAGTGACCAAGCCTCCAAAAAGTAGAAAATTTGAAGGATTGTCAGAATATTAAGGATTGGACAGAGATGGAAATAGCTTTTAATTGAGTGCGACATGAATTAGGCATGTCATTTGGCAGTTCGTAAGTAAGAAATCAACAGAAACAATAGCTGCTTCGGCCCGAGCGAATCCTGCTGGGGCTCTTACGGATCCATCATGTCCACTTGACCCCGCGAGCCAGGCCGCGGGAAGGTCAGGCTACGGCGAGCTCGATGCGGTTTTGCAGGAAAGTAGCTCGAAGGGAAGGATGCTCGCAAACCTCGGGGGCTGGGGATGCGGTACTGCTGCTGGTTATGTGGAGTGAAGTGTGGGGAGGGGATGCAGCGGGCTGTCAGCTCGCTACACTACAGCCGGAACTGGCAGCTCGGCTTTGTGTTGCGTGGGGTTTACACCAGGGATGGCATAATTGACAATGGCTAACGGTGGAGAGCAGTGCGCAGCCTTGTTGAATGGCCGGTAATGATTGGAGCAGACGCCCACCGGCCCCGTCCCGAGGGACAGTAATCCGAGATCCTGTTTCTGATATAATTGTTAGTCAGAGAATTTCTGCATGGCTGCGCCGGCTCACATTCCCAAGCTGGTTGACAGTGCCAGGCAGTTTAATAGAAAAACTGCATGCTGAGAACAGAAGAGCACTGAACCCGCACTTGGTTGACCAAGAGTCTCTTGTTTAAGAAGAAATAGCACATCATGAGCTGTGACTTTACTCCCCCAACCCCAAAAAAACAAACAAACGAACTCTCATTCATTTCAATTATTGCTTTCGGTCATTCAAACAGGCGGTGATGTCACTGGAAATTGAGCTCATCTCTGCATTCTAAGCGTCCATCACCACGGGTGACCCGAACATACAGTCTTGGCCTGGACAAGTAGATGTCTTCAGCTCTGGACATTCACCTGTACCAGACAACTTACTCACCCTCACACGCTTCACTGTCTTCCACACCCCCCATACCCCACCCAAAGGCCCCCC